ACCTGACCTTTCAACTCGTCATTGCGACCTGATAATATCAAAGCCTTTTTCCGCTTTGCACAAGCCGGATTACACGAGTACAAAGTGATAGACCTGCGTACGCAACTGGTCGCAGTAGCGAAGGCACTGCCACACGAATTGAACTATCATGTTACACATAATGGGTTTAATAGTGATGTTTCCAGACCCTACAACACTTTAAAACAGACTATCCTTAAATGGGTAGACCTCACCTGTTAACGAAGGCTAGACCAGTTGCTCCACAATATCGAATTACAATACGGCCCAGCAATAAAAATTCTGCTACCTATTCGAACATTAATTGCTCAAAAAACTTTCCACTACGGCATTTTAGACAACTCTACTTGCCTAAGCTTTCCATAAAAGTGCAAGCGATCCTCATCTGATTTCTAAATAATGCAGCAAACTAACAGGCTTGATCTGGTGATCGGATTCTGAAAATCATCAGAACTTCAAAGCTACGTTTTCTCTGTCAAAGATAAGCTCCAAACGACACAAAACTACACTACAGTCCCCTATAACTCTTCAACATGCTAACTCTCTCTTTTACATGAAAACTGTGTGGCAGGCATCGGATAATAAATACGTTCTAGTGCTAACTTAGTGTGCAACTCATTTAGACCTTTTCTCGAGAACATGTCCGGAAAAATGAGAGCCTTGGCATGTTCTTAGAGACCATATCACTTAAGGAGTCATGCTGAAAAAACCAACCAGCAAAGCCCGTTCAAACTGTTGTAACTCTGCTGTGATATTAGCAAGGTCTTCATATTGAAGAGTTCTAATATCTAATGGTAGAAATCGATACTTTTTGTAAGCTGCAAGGCCGATGCCCTGTCTAATTAATGTAGGTACATGGAAAGTTCAGACGATGTCAGCGAATGGGATGGCTACAAATGTATCAGCGGAGATAAGACCTTTCTCTCCTTGGAATAGGTGAAAATCATCAAATACAAACTGCACAAAGATATGTAGATAACGTCGGGTCTCGAATGACTTAATCAACACTACAGTAAGATTACTCGCCCGAAAACGACTTGGTTCCTTTGATAACTCGCAAAGCAGAAGACTGTAACTGGTCCAGATAGAATATATTTATTGGCAATCTCGTGGTATTGAATGAATGTCGAGACGTGCCAAAGATTACGGGTAATAAGAGCAGAGCGTAAGAAAGTTCGAACCAACAAGATGGATAGCGGGATGAGAAGTGACTTTGATACAGTTAAACAACAAGGAGTTCGTCAAAACACTCACTGGTACAATTGGTTATAATAATAATTGTTTCCATTAAACTAATCGCATTCTCGTCGAGAAAAGCAGGTCATTACTGATACGTCCTTGCATTCTGACCATAAAAAGAATTTGTCCCATACATGATTAGTTAAAATGGCGCCATCAGAATAAGTATAACGAGCCTATAGAATTGGAAACGCACGAATACCCAATCACCTTGGCATCATTTAAAATGAAGTAGGAATGAAGTGCAATGGAAATCAACGCACTCAAAAATAACTAGAGCGATTTTATAGACCGATTTCATGAGACGTTGAAGAATGTCTGGAAAAAAATCCCGACCACCCTAATTAGGAACCTGAACGCTAAGTTTGGGATTTTGAATACCGAATATGAAAACAACATGAAGTAATGTGGACAGAGATGAAAAAGTGATTATAGCGAGGGACAGGTAAATGTATGTAATTTCAACATAATTGTTACGGGTGAAGTCATCTTCCCTTGAAAATCCGCTTATGCTTTATTAGACTGTGCTGTGAAGAATCAGACTGACTACATCTGTGTCAATAAAAAATTCAGGTTCATTCAATACAAAGGAATAAAGAGAGAAGCCTATGTTCCCTCAGTAATAATACACTGTTTCTGAGATAGTAGATCCAAGCTATTTCTATGAGTTTGCAAACGAAACACTTCTTCGATATCGCGATTTAAAACAACAAATCAGTTAAGCTATATAACAGAATACCCATTACTATGTACGGAGTGGATACTTAGTAGGTTTTAGATCACAAACTAGTGGAGGTCAATATGGAACTGAAGCACTGAATATTGGGTAAGGAACACTTTCGGTTTCAGAGAATAAATTCCTATTGTTCAAAATGAAACCTATTTTTCGACGAAGAAGGCAGGTTAAGAACAGCTATAGTGTGTAGAATCAAGTCAAAGGTGAAGAGGGTCGAAACAAATATGAAGACAATGACAGCATAACTGTTGAAGACAACTAAACTAATCCGATGATAATAGAATGAAGTATTGATAGTTAACGAGAAATTTCCTAAAAGTTACCCACTTTTGTGAAGCTTGTGCTGGTGAATGTTCTGGAAAGAGACAATTAAACCCTCCAGCTTGAACAAAAAAATTCACTCTAGAAACGGTGTATCCTAATTTTCTCCTATTCAAATAGTGTACCTCTCGACCAGAAATCGCCACATTGAATTACAGATTAAATAGATAACAAACTTCACATTACCTACACACCAGTTTGTACTCCAAAATATATAGAAATGTAACAATCACACATAAAAGTAGTTTATTCGGTGTGATTTCTAGTATGTCACTTACCGACGCCAGAATTGTGATTTATGTTGTTTATAAGGTACTTACTTATGCCTGTTACTCCTGATGGAGCATAGGCCGCCGACCAGCATTCCCCGACCCACTGTCCTGGATGTTTATAAGGTAGTAACAAACTATATGTGTATCAGTATTTTGGGATATAGCATCAGATCATCACTTTGTGGTCGCCAAGATGAAACTAAAACTTAAGAATCACTGGACAACGGAGCGGACAACATCACAAAAGTTTAATACGGCCTTTCTTCGGGATACTGACAAACTCAACGAATTCAAGATAGCCCTCTGCAGCAGGTTTTCTGCCTTTCACGACCTACTGAATAGAGAGAGAACTACCATGGAGAGCAACAGGAAAAAACAAAAGAGGCAAACACTTCATCGTGTCAGGAGGTTCTGGGCCACAAAGATCACCACCACAAGGGATGGATCACTGTTGATACATTGGATAAAATTTAAGAAAGGAGGAACAGGAAGTCAGCAATCAATATCAGCCGAACAAGAGAAAAAAAGGTCAAGTCACAAACCAAATACACAGAAGTAAACAAGCAAATTAAGAGGAGTATCAGAACCGACAAACGTAATTATGTAGATTTAGAGATGAAGGCGGAAAAGGCACAAGAGAAAAAAACATGAGACAAATGTGTGATACAACAAAGAAACTCTCTGGAAATTACCGTATACAAGAACGACCAGTGAAAAGCAAGGAAGGCAAGGTAATCACCAACATTGCAGAACAGAGAAACAGGTGTGTAGAACACTTCAAAAAACTCTTAAATCAACTAGCTCCACTGAACCCACCCAACATCGAAGCAGCACCCACGGACCTCCCAATCGATGTTGGCCCACCAAAAATTAAACAGATCAGCATGGCCATTAGACAAACTAAAAGCGGCAAAGCAGCGGGACCAGACAACGTCCCGGCAGAGGCACTGAAAGCAAATATAGCAGCAACTGCAGAGATACACCACATTCTCTCCAGTAAGATTTGAGATGAAGAACAAGTACCAACAGACAGAAGAGAAGGACACCTGGTCAAAATACCAAAGAGAGGTGATTTCAGCAAGTGTGAAAACTACATGGGCATCAATCTTCACTCAATAACAGGAAACGTCTTCAACAGAGTATTGTTAAACAGAATGAAGGACTCCGTAGACGCCCAGCTTCGAGACCAATAGGCTGGGTTCCGTAAGGATCGATCATTTGCAGACCAAATCGCAACTCTACGGATCATCGTGGAACAATCAATTGAATGGGATTCATCACTCTACATCAACTTCATTGACTACGAGAAAGCCTTTGATAGCGTGGACAGGACAACACTATGGAGGATTCTTCGACACTACGGCCTGCCTGCCTGAGAGGATAGTCAATATCGTACGGAATTCCTATGATGGATTAAAATGCAAGATCGTTCATGGAGGACAGTTGACAGACTCGTTCGAGGTAAAGACCGGTGTCATGCAAGGTTTCTTACTCTCACCCTTTCTCTTTCTCCTGGTGATCGTCTGGATTATGAAGACGTCAACATGTGGGGAGAAGAACAGGATACAATGGACAGCTAGGATGCAGCTGGACGATTTAGACTTCGCATACGATCTGGCTCTTCTACCACACACACACACACGCCATCATTCAGAAGACACAAGTGCTTGTTAGCAGTTGTCTACGCATATACTTCGGATCCGTTGGTCAGACACTATCAGCAACAACCTAATGTGGTAGAGAACAAACCAGATTTCAGCGGAGGAAGAAATCAGGAAGAAGTGCTGGAAGTGAACAGAACACACATTGAGGAAATCACCCAACTGCATCACAAGGCAAGCCCTCACATGGAATCCTGAAGGCCAAAGGAAAAGAGGAAGACCAAAGAACAAAGTACGCCGAGAAATGGAGACAGACATGAGAAGAATGAAAAAGTTGGATAGAATTAGGAAGGAAGGCTCATAAAAGAGTGGGTTTGAGAATGCTGGTCGGCGGCTTATGTTCCTTTGGGGGTAACAGGCATAAGTAACTTAAAGCCAGAGTACAAATATGCATGATGTGAACATAGTGATCGTTAGCTAGTTCTCCTAGCTATGCATTTTTTGTCAATCTGAAAACAACGAAACCCGATCACTTGTAGCTACCACCTTCCTCAATCAGCACACTCAAGACAATGGACAAACATTTAAAGTGTCATACTGTGTGCGTAAATGGTTACTACCTTTTTATATAGTGAGGGAAAACAATCGTTGTGGGTGTCATAATGATAACAATATGCTATAGAAAACCATTCCAAAACAACATTTAAAGCAAATCATAAGTTTTTATACGAATCCTCTCTATTCACCACCTAGTGTACCTAAAGTGGCCAAAATAGCTTGTTTCATTTCTTATATTCAATTATTTTTATCTGAATGAAAACCATATTTCAAAGGTACATTGCTCATATCCTATTCTGTGTAAAAAACAATACTATCACGTGAACCTTTCTTACATTTTCAAATCAGTTTTTGTAGTTTACCATAACCAAAGTCATTATTATTTTTAACGCATTGCACAATAAACAGACTAATCACACAATAATGATGATGAATTACACAGACCGATGTAAAAATCATAACATGTATATTTTTAAACAAGCAATAAAAAAGCAAATACTTTCAAAAGAGATTTAACAACAAGTGCCTGATATTGACAGTCAAAGATTGACACAGTCAAACAAATTAAATCATCATATCACTATCAAAAAAGCATTTTCTTTATTGCGGTTGGACAAAAATGTTGTACTGGTACATGAAGCAAGATAAGGTGGCTGTTTGAAATGAAAAATTTCAAGATTGTTGACATGTGTGTATGAGGAACATTAAAGTAACATTTCTTATCTGGAATCAGTACACACTGTTTTCAATCCTTTTCCAGTAAAGTTTGTTTTAAACTGTTCTGGGACTGCGAATTCTTCCTGAAATTTTACACATGAAAAATGGGGTTAAGATTCTTAAAGAAAAAAACATTTATCAACAGTTATCTTTTATATCATTACATAATCACCTACAGGCTAAGATTGTTATAGAGAACATTTTTACCACATATAAATCAATTTTTCATGTAATGTTACGGACATGAAACTTTTGTGTGCTACAACAGAACTATAAACGACTGATTGGCCGATTAATCTAACACAAAAATACTACACAGATAATGTTATTAATTTCTGAAACACGCCAATCCCATTGACTGTTAAAACAGTTTCTGTTATGTAAACTATTTGATCAATAACAAATGTATCCTATCTTACATGAATATAACGCAATATATTAGTGAGTAATATAACTGATGTTAACAATGACATAGAGAACTGTAGACTGTTGCTTTGTTTATAAATTATTTATTAACGTTATACTTTGATGGTCAGATTGAATGGATACATGTAAAGCAAATATCACCATGAATGCAACCAGCTTCAAATTAGAAGTATTAATAACTAGATAATAATTATGATTATATACATATATACAATGAAATAACATGAATTGAATCATAGTGTAATTATACATAATAGAATAGCTCATAATACTATAGATTATCATGATCAAGATAAACAAACCGGTAGAGATTAATTCAATAACAAAAGTGTTACTAGATATGGTATATATATTTAAACTGATATTAATTAACATATAAATAAAATAATTAAAATTTATTTATTTTATAAATTCTCTTCATCTACTGCCTACATCATAGAAACAATGATGATAATTATTTAAAACTAAGATACATATTAACATATTAATGAATATGATTAAAACATAACATTCCTTAAATTATTTAGTATAGAAAGATTAAACAATTTTTGTTTAATTCTACAACATTTAGTGTTAGGTAGTTAGTTTGTTGGGTTGTTTTTAAGAAACAAAAATAATCTTTATTAAATCATAAGTATGTAGATTGGTTTTATGAATCAATTCTATGGATTATAATCATATAAAGAGAATTCATAGAAATAAGTAAATTCATTATATTATTTTTTGTTACATTAACTACTACTGTTCCTTTTATATTCACATTTATTGATGAGAAAAATTTTATATAATAAGATAACAACAAGGAATAGATATGATGTATAATATTTGAAAAGTGATGTGAACAGCTAAACACAAAGCTTTAACAAACTACGGAAGTTATTTTTTGGGAACCCTATTTCATTTAATTCAATGCTTGTAAAACTGTAACATTTACTTTTGTCCCTAGTCTATTCTACAGACCATAAGATTTCGTTTGATGTACGATTCACTGCCATAGCCTTTTTTATTCCAAAGCTATTGTAGTTTACACGTGACCTTTTGTACTATATTTTCTACTCAAATCCCCCAGTTTTGGACATAATTGTATTTAACAGAAGGGGTTTTGTGGAGATCTAATATTTTCATAGTTGAAATCATGAGTTCATTGAAGCTAGACCACCATGGAAAACCTGGAAGCACTAGATGACCGTTTCGTTCTATTATGGGACTTCTTAGCAGTGCGCGTCTACGATCCCGCACTCGCGAGATTCGAACTCAGGATCTACCAGTTTTGAGCCAGAGCACTTTAACGATAGACCACTGAACCGGCATTCAACGATGTTAATGTCTAACTTCAACTGATCCACGAATTTGAGCAACCGTTCACTAATTGTCTTCAGTGAGTTGATATCTCACAACAGACGTGGTTTGAACTCCACTGGTCACTGCTTCTCACTTATACTCCTGGATTTACCTCTCGAAGTCAGTCACAAGTGAGCATATTTGTATTTTCCTCATTATTTTACGTTGTGATCAGGCTAGTCATCTATTTATTCATGCATCTTTTTACACTAATCTGAATTCGGGTGCCAGATCCGAATTCGGAATAAAGCGAGTAGTGTTCCAGTTGTCTTATCTTCTTTCTTGCGCGTGCTTATCAGCTAATCAGGGATAGGATAGTTTTCTTCTCTCTACCCCACTTCGAACTCACGCATACTAGCCTCAGGGTTAAGCCAGTCAGCCTACCGTGTCAAGGTCTTAATCTACATTAGACAAGTTATTCTTGGCAAAAAAAGTGGGTAGACAGATCAAGGACGTAACAAAAAGTATACTATTGATGGTATATTTTAGGAACAATGATTTAGACTTGATTGTATACAATAGAAAAGTAGTAAATTACTAAATAGAATTCTTAAAGTAATTAATCTTTTTTTATGATATGGTTGAATATAAAATAAACACCAAAAGCAAAATTAAATAAAGTGATTTTGTAAAAAGGTAGAAATTGAGGAACTGTTAATATTATGTAATGAGCAAAGAAACGGAATAGGGCTACATTCTATGGTAGTTAAATAGAACGATAGCTAGGTGATACTTAAATCACAGAAAAAGGCTAGTATATTATCACTATTATTATTTTATAAAATCTATATCTCTTGTTTCTTTTCTAATAATTCTATTTTATTTTATTATTTATTTATTTAATCACATATATATTGGTACAAAGGGCACCGGATACATATGCGCCACACAAAATAATGAGAATGGGAGAAGGAAGAAGATGCGTATATATAAAAGAAGGAAAAAAGAATAGGAGAAGAGTAATGATGGGGGGAACTGAATGTACAACCAGAAGAGCTCTCTCAGTTAGGGAAGTTATAGCCACTCTTTATGAAGAAAGTAAAAGAAGGTTACAGCAGGCTCGCCACTGGCTTCTATTCTGAGCCATATCTGATAACGTCTCTAGCCACTGTGTTGCACCATCTCTCGGACCCCAGCCAGGGAGTCGTGAAGGACCAACAGAAGCTAGCCCTTTGCAGCTTTCTTTCATGCCACGACACCATGTCATACACTGACCTCCTCTCCGCTTTCTCCAACCAGTCCCAGGGTCGGCAAATCATGCACGACGTGGAAGTCTCTGGGACGACATTCGTAAAACATGTCCAAGCCACCGAAGTCGGTGTTTCAAGATGTTGACACCAATTGGGTTGTCGTCTCGGCGCCCGAACACACGATGCCGAACCTCTGCATTACTAACATGGTGTTGCCACTGGATGTCAGCAATCCTTCGGAGACAACGATGATCGAACACAGAGAGACGTCTAACATCCTCAACTCGGAGAGGCCAGGTTTCACAAGCATAGAGCAAAACTGCTCTCACCGACGCGTTGTAGATCCGACCTTTTACAGCCAGACTAACATCACGAAGGCGCCAAAAATGGCCCAGGTTGGCATAAGCCGCTCTGGCTTTCATTATACGTGCATCAATCTCATCACTCACGCCACCACCAGCACTTATGTAGCTACCTAGATACACGAACTTCTCAACTACTTCGATCTCCTCACCATCCAGGGTGAGTACAGGATGAGAATCCTGCCAGTCTTGTAGAAGTACTTTGCACTTGGAGGGTGCAAAGCACATGCCGTACCTGCGGACACTGATTGCCAACTGATTAAGTGCGGATTGCATGGCTTGGGCATTATCGCACAGAAAGACTATATCATCCACATACTCGAGGTCGAGAAGTCGTTCTCCAGGCAGCAGATCCACACCGCCATTACTTACATCCATCAGAGCTGTTTCCAGGATGTCGTCGATGGCAAAGTTGAAGAGGAATGGTGAGATTGGGCAACCCTGTCTAACCCCACTGCTCGAATGGAACAAGGGAGAAAGGTGGTTGTATGCCTTCACTCTGCCTGAGGTGTTCGCATACAGGGCCTTTAAGATGTTAATGAACTTCTCAGGCACACCCTTCTTCAATGGACAATGCCAGAGAACAATCCTGTCCAACGAATCGAATGCAGCCCTGATATCAAGAAACACTACGATTGTTGGCCTGCGATAAGTATGACTGTGTTCTAACATTTGGCGGAGGGTGAAGATGTGATCAATGCATCCTCGACCAGAACGAAAACCAGCCTGCTCCTCGCGAGTCAATCGTTCTCGGGTTTTAAACAACCTACGAAGAATGATAGAAGCCAATAGTTTGGACGCGATCGAAAGTAGACTTATCCCCCGATAGTTGTTACAGGAACAACGTGAACCCTTTTTAAAGATAGGGACGACTATTGACTCATTCCAAGATGTTGGAACACTTTATTGCTCCCAAACCTTTCCAAACAACGCAGTCAATTCCTTAGCCAGAAAGTCACCACCATCTTTAAAAAGAGCCGGAGGTAAGTCATCTGGGCCAGGTGATTTATAACGTTTCAAGAGTTGGAGTTCCTTGCGGACTTCCGCCTCGTTTGGTGGATCAGTCGTCACCGGCCATGGGGAGCAGGACAAGCTGGTTGATGTTGCCGGAGCAGCAGGCCAGTTGAACTGCCCTTCGAAAAATTCCGCCCATCGTCCAAGACGTCGACAGATGTTAGTGATTGGCATCCCGTCATCCTCGTAGATTGTTTCACTCACACCAGACTTCTTGCTGCCAGTGGCTCGGATGAGTTGGAAGAGCTTCCGGCAGTTACCAGATGCAGCTGCTGCTTCCATCTCATTAGCACGCTCCGACCACCAGGCTTCCCGGTCCTTACACAAGCTTTGCCCGATTTCATTACGTAACAGCCTTCGTTTGTGGTCAAACTCACGGTCACCCGGAGTAGACCGACGGGCTTCCATCAGTTGTAAGGAGCCAGAAGAAACCCAGTGCTTGTAAGCGGGACGTTTCGCGAAGCCGCAAGCGGCTTTACTCGCCATTTTCATGGCGTCGTGAAGATGCAACCAATGCTCATCTATACTTTTCGGTGGGATGGTAGCTAGCCTAGAAGCTAGCTCCGCTCAATACTTACAACAGATGTTGCAGCCAGTTTACTAACATCGATCCGTTGGTGGTGCTCAGTCCTTCGGCCACCGAAAAGTAAGGTGAGATTGGCGCAGACCAGGGCATGATCAGACTCCAGATAGGTACTCCAAAAGGAGCGACAGTCTTGTACACAACCACGCCAGCGGTAGCTGATCGCGATGTGATCAATCTGAGTCCAGGCTTGGGATGCAGAGGGAGGACGCCAGGTAGCACACCGGCGATGACTGTGCCGGAAGTTAGTGCTGGCCAGAAACAGGTTGTGGTCTGTGCACAGTTGCAGCAAACGGTTTTCGTTATCTGTCCTGCGACCAACAAGTCCCGATTGGCCACCTAAACGACTCTCTTCTGTGCCTAGACGCCCGACCTGTGCATTCAAGTCTCCGGCTAGTACTACAATATCTGTCGAACGCGCTTTCTGGAGAAGAACTGTTAACTGATGGTAAAACTCATCCTTGATTGCATCCGGGCTGCAATCTGTCGGGGCATAGGCGGAGATGACGAAAAGACACCGTTTCTCACGCCGATTTCTTCTCACTTTGATGGAACTTTCTAATCTAACAGCACATAACCGACTGTTAATGGGGATCCAATCGATTAGTGCTGCCTCAGCTCTAGCGCTTAGTGCGACACCAACGCCAGCAAGACCAGACGAAGATGCCACAGGGTCCCCGGATAAGCGCACGTGAAACAAGCTTTTCAAGGCGATAGATGGAGCGAATTTGTAGTACTTCACTAGAGTCTTGAATACGGGTCTCGGATAGACAGCAAACATCAACATTAAGACCTTCCAAAGACATAGCCAGACCTATCTATTGTCTGATCTGCATTAGTGTGCGAACGTTGAAGGAAGCCAGCTTGAACGGCGTACGTGGTTTCAGAAAGACTGCTTCAGTATTCATAATCGGTGGAAGCATTCACTTTCAACCAGACAGTGACTGGAGATCGTTTAAATAGGACAGATTTTCCACCAAGAGCGAGCTGCTGCATAAGTTGAAGAGTAAGGTTACACAAATTGGGGATAAAAGGGGATGAGTTAGCGATATGGTAAATAATAATAATCATAATAATAATAATAGTAATAATGCAAATTGAATTGTCTCTAGTATGAACGAGAATATAATTGTCAGCTGAATGTTCCATTTCATTTATTTGCGAGAGGGCTGTGATACTGCCCGGGTGCCCAAACCGAAGCAGGTGGTTTTCTTAGGAGGCCACACCCCGAGCCTTTGATCCAGAGGTCTAATCCACAGGGCAGTGGAGCATCGTGAGGAGATGCAGTCCCATGGTAGCCGGTGACCAACAACAGGTTCATTCGCCATTCCTTCCATCAGGATACTGGAGTCCATGCGACCATTGGTTTGGAATCAAGGTTTTCCAACTCCCCTAGGTGGACTTTCTGTGTCCACCAACCCGGTTAAAGCTCCGGACATTCGCTTATCGTCCTCTCACTTTCGTAAGCAACACCCCCGCCACGAGAAGGCAGTGAGTAGGACTTCCCTGGCAGAGGCTATATATTCGCGTGGCCATGTGAGAGCATTTCGAGAGGGAGAGCAGACTCTCCCCACTCTCGGCCGTACCAGGGCATTTGGGGACTAAAAAACCTGGAATATCCTGATATTTTAATTAGTGATTTTTTTGTTTACAAATGTCATTTTATGTATGTATATTCACGTTATCAATGACTGAATATCGTTCAATATTATCGAGAAAAAATTATAAACGGTTTTCCGTTTGAGAAACAAAAAAAACTTACAAAATCATCAGTTCCTTTAGGTATAAGGATATTGATCTCTGAAGATTTTGCTGTGATTACGTCAGCATACTTTGATTCTTCACTTAAAAACACTTGACATCCATCTGTCTTGTCAATATTCACAGTTGATAGTTGTCCAAGACACTAAACAGAAATAAATTTTCGTGAAAATTAACAAGAACGATGAACATATATATATACATCGATGTGTATAATGTAGACAGTAAAAACTACATTATTATTACTACTAGACAGGTATAAACTGAATTATCAACAGAATAATTTCAGCAGTTTCAAGATCTCCATAGAATACTCAAAAATGAACAATATTTGAGCGAACAATTGATTTCAATAACTTCATCATCAGGCTCTACAGTTATAAGTCCATAATTATGATAATTTACGAAGGCCAAAATGAGACATGTATTATCATTCCCAATTCGTTTGTCGTAGTTACCTTGATAACACCCCTTTTATTACATATTATATTCACACAACAATATTATTATTATTATTACTATTTTTCATTATTATCTCAATTGACAAGTTGAAATTCTCCTACTATGCACTTTATTCACACAATTTTTTGCATTTTCATTTTTTCTAAATTACTATTATATCGATTGTAACTGGACACTTCACTCCAAATTCATTTTGACCTTTATTAAATAACCTTTCTAATTTGTAAATAATACAATTTTGAAGTATATAAGTCGTAACAGATGCAAATGTTCACCATTTTTAACAATGTAACATTGTTAAATTAATTAATGCATGCTTCATTTTGGCCTTTGTAAAATATTGCAATTATGGACTTATAACTGTAGAGCCTGATGATGAAGTTATTGAAAACAATTGTTCACTCAAATATTGTTCATTTTAAAATAATTTCATATGAACAGTTGGTTTTTCAATTTTTTTTCCGGTTTTTAGTTGATTTCTGTTCTCAATTAAAACAATCTGATCAACAGTAGGAATTAACTGTAAATTATTACTATCCAATGATTAAACACATATTTACAGAATATTGATACCAGTTATCAAAATTCAATATATTTAAACACAAGATTACAAAACTAACCTGAATTTTAACACTTTGACAATTTACCACATCAATAGATGAAATCAGATGATCAAAGACCACACCAGTTTTCTTACAATTATCTAATAGAAAATAATAATAAGAATTCATCAAAAAAAGAACATGATTATTGAAATATCAATAATAATAATAATCAAATTGACATTTCCTATACAAGAATCAGTAAAAACTATACAGAATATATATAGGAGAGCAGATATATATGCACAAATACATAATACATCACTACATAGCAACTCAGAGATAGTTCATATGATAGTAGTTTTATGTCTCTTGAAAAAAAAAAAAGAAATTCACAAACTTAACAACTCATTCCATCAACCATTAAAATGAACATAAACGTAGCATACTTAATTGAAATTGGATTAATTAGATTATATCATTAAATTTATGCGTGATGTATTTTGTGAATATTTAAAAAAAAATTTTTTTCATAAATCCTTTTCCAATTAATAAAAAAACACATTAACAATCAAGTTTTATAATTTACAATTTAATACTAATATGTTAGATTCTCTTAGGTAATTCATATGAATATTAGCATTGAATAAAATGTGATGTATTTGAAAACTGTAGGATATTTAATAGGATAATAAACGTATACATAATGGATCAGAAGGGGTTTTGTGGAGATTTCAGTATTTTCATAGTTGAAATCATGAGTCAATTGAAGCTAGACCACCGTGGAAAACCTGGAAGCACTGGACGGCAGTTTCGTCCTATTATGGGATATCTCAGCAGTGCGCATCCACGATCCCACGCTCGCGGGATTAACACCGTTGGATGCCAACTCAGTGGTCTATCGGTTAAGTGCTCCGGCGCGAGACTGGTAGGTCCTGGGTTCGAATCTCGCGAGTGCGGGATTGTGGATGCGCACTGCTGAGGTATAGACTATAGACAATTTTATTTTTTATCATAAATGTGAACATGTGGTTAAGTAAAAATGATTATTAAATCATTGATGAATGTCAACAAATGATGTTAAAACTTTTTCTTATAATCTATAATTGTTTAACTGATCTGTTTCCACTCGACTTCATAAGATTAACAGTAAAAATAATAATAATAAATTTCGATACAACATATATTTTAAGACAACAGTTGGAATAAGTCTATGTAAGAGAGAACGGCAGTGATGAAAAAGACCTACGTCGAAAACTTTTGCTGTCAGTCAGTCATATGCAATGTACAACCTGGGATATGTGCGTATCGGCTCAAGTTGTTACGTTCCACTGGTATAGTGGGATGAAATTGTAAGGGTAAATGTCAGAGTAGTAGAGGTAGTAGTGTGAGACATGATAGTAGGCAGAAGGAATGTATTTTTGTGAGTTGTAAAGTATTTATATAATACATTATGCATAGCCTTCAATCTTCCATTTGCATCTTTCGGTGTGTTATGCCATATAAACTATATTCTCGTCTGATCTACAAGTGTTCTGTCAACTTTGTGCTTTAAATGCACTGAAACTCTTGACTTCGTCTGATAATTGAGATAACTTCGACGTCACGTTCCAATACACATCACCTACAAACAATCTTGTGAGTAGCGTCCGCTACAGTAGCACTAATAGTGATAATAGGAAAAATTAGGCATAGAAGATAAGATACGAAAAGATAGTATGAATTAGCTTAACTTTTGGTGCATAAAATGTTTGTTAATGAAATGAATTTATCTTCTAGAAACTTTCACGAAAGCTGATTTGTTAGAATCGAAACTAATTTGCCACTCAGGATGAGTAAAAATATGAAGTTTAGAACTCGATCCAATATAGCAGTTCTCTTAAATGACAGAAGATTAGATGTTGATACTAATAAAAAGAAGAGTTATGGTGGTAAAAAGCTCATACCCAGACTTAGCAAACAAAACCATCATAGTTAATACTACTTTTAGGAAAAATGGTGTTCATTCATCAAGATATAACGTTCTAATTTTCACCTGCTACAATATATTAGTTGTATGCACACAAACTTTGAAATGATGACGAAAATTTGTAGCTCTATTGCATGCTTCTGGTGTTGAATTTTTTCAACCGAATGGTTTATTCCTGCTTAAAGTACTCCTTGATGATATCGCATTCAGAAAAATAACCAACGCTTCACAACTAAATCATTCAGTCCAGGAAATAGAACAAGACCAAACACACATACACATAATCAGTACTTGGTTGATACTTTTTTTATTTAAAACAATTCGGTTGTAAATCATATATGAACGATTTCTTTCAACAATAATAAAGGATTTAAAGCCGATTTCACACTAAGTAACAGTTAGTACCAATGAATTAATGTAGATTGTTCAGTAAAACAAGATTATACAGCATAAACATGATAATATTGAGCTTCACACATAAAGGTCGGTCTACTCAAGTACACATATAAAGAACATATTTATTCTACATCCCTACATTGTATTTTGAAATTTATGTGGCAGTTAGCCAATTAAGTTATCAATATTAATTTGTGTCACTCATAAATTCTAACACAATAATCAAGAGTAAATTTTTAAACTGATTGTATGGGACCAATAAACTATTGACTGCTTATGTTAATAATGTAAGTCTCTTGGCTTCTCAAAATGCAGTGTTTCTTGAATAATTACACTAATAACCGCATTGTCCTCATATTAGATAAATATGTATTGTTATGAGGTGCTTGTTAGAAACAAACTGTAGATTATACAGATGAGTGTAAATACTAAGGTGATACACAAAAAAAGATAAAATTGACACGGTGAAACTTTGAGGAGTCGAAGTAATGACAGAAATGACACTTATAATTTAGGAAAATACAAAATATATATTTAGTCGCCCTACTGCAATCGACCTTGAGCTGGTCTGCCATACATGATAATTATCTTGAGGATCTCAAGACAGAAATCTGCTTCTCCCCACACAACTCAGACCAACATCCAACAACACGATGGATTGGTGTCATATCTTTGATACATCCTCAATAGTTTTCTTACAATCTACTTCTATGTGATAAAGTATAGAGAACGGGGATATATGGTGTTTGGTATAAAACTTAGTAAATAAATGGATGACTGTGTACTCGAATAAGAGCCAAATGTTTTGTGTGAATGTTTGGTATACCTCCAAATCTTCCCAACTGAGGCAAGTGTGAAAGCGTTCGAACCTGAAACCCAGTGGCTGGAAATTGAATGCATAAAGAGTTACCATTTTTAGTTTTATAAATTCCATAAAAATGGTAAAAACTTATTTTGTCGAACTATTTACACTGAGGCAAGTCAGGAATTTTGTTATCACAGGTTCTATAAATAGACAAATTATCAGAAAAGGTACATCAGACTTGAAGCTGATGTTTGCAAACATCGTATTGATGGATAATAACTATAACTATTGTATAATGAAGCATAACGAACATGGTGATATAACTACTGATCAAATAGAATGATGCACAACCTCTCATAACGGAAAGATATTTAAATCACAAGTCATTTATAACATTGTACAAGGAAGTCAACAAAAGAGTGTAAGCAAATCAATAGATACGCGATAAGAAGATGTTAACGTTTTGGTAAAAACACTGGTAGAAAATGCATATTACATTCCTAAAGTAGTTCAGTTAGTAAAACAGAGGCTTTTCAATACTGAATTCATCTCAAAATATACACATAAATAAATAAATTTGAAATTTACATTGGCCTTTATCTAGTAAAATTCATTTTCTATTTTCGTAATGTAGAATAAAGCAAATTAGATTTATGCCAAATTAGTTGCGGGCTTCATACATTCATATATACACACACGATATACACACACAAACAAATGAATGAAATTATGAACTCTATTGACGATATCCCTGGTCATACTAAAAGCAAGACAATTAACATTATTATTATTATTACCTTTATTATTATTATTATTATTATTATTATTATTATTATTATTATTATTACTTACCATATCGCTAATTCACCCCCTTTTATCCCCAATTTGTGTAACCTTACTCTTCAACTTATGCAGCAGCTCGCTCTTGGTGGAAAATCTGTCCTATCTAAACGATCTCCAGTCACTGTCTGGTTGAAAGTGAATGCTTCCACCGATTATGAATACTGAGGCAGTCTTTCTGAAACCACGTACGCCGTTCAAGCTGGCCTCCTTCAACGTTCGCACACTAATGCAGATCAGACAACAGATAGGGCTGGCTATGTCTTTGGAAGGTCTTAATGTTGACGTTTGTTGTCTATCCGAGACCCGTATTCAAGACTCTAGTGAAGTACTACAAATCCGCTCTCCATCTGTCGCCTCGAAAAGCTTGTTCCACGTGCGCTTATCCGGGGACCCTGTGGCATCTTCGTCTGGTCTTGCAGGCGTTGGTGTTGCACTAAGCGCTAGGGCTGAGGCAGCACTAATCGATTGGATCCCCATTAACAGTCGGTTATGTGCTGTTAGATTAGAAAGTTCCATCAAAGTGAGAAGAAATCGGCGTGAGAAACGGTGTCTTTTCGTCATCTCCGCCTATGCCCCGACAGATTGCAGCCCGGATGCAATCAAGGATGAGTTTTACCATCAGTTAACAGTTCTTCTCCAGAAAGCGCGTTCGACAGATATTGTAGTACTAGCCGGAGACTTGAATGCACAGGTCGGGCGTCTAGGCACAGAAGAGAGTCGTCTAGGTGGCCGATGGGGACTTGTTGGTCGCCGGACAGATAACGGGGACCGTTTGCTGCAACTGTGCACAGACCACAACCTGTTTCTGGCTAGCACTAACTTCCGGCACAGTCATCGCCGGTGTGCCACCTGGCGTCCTCCCTCTGCATCTCAAGCCTGGACTCAGATTGATCACATCGCGATCAGCTACCGCTGGCGTGGTTGTGTACAAGACTGCCGCTCCTTTTGGAGTACCTATCTGGAGTCTGATCATGCCCTGGTCTGCGCCAATCTCACCTTACTTTTCAGTGGCCGAAGGATTGACCACCACCAACGGATTGATATTAGTAAACTGGCTGCAACTTCTGTTGCAAGTAAGTATCGAGCTGAGCTAGCCTCTAGGCTAGCTACCACCCCACCGAAAAGTATAGACGAGCATTGGTTGCATCTTCACGACGCCATGAAAATGGCGAGTAAAGCCGCTTGCGGCTTCGCGAAACGTCCCGCTTACAAGCACTGGGTTTCTTCTGGCTCCTTACAACTGATGGAAGCCCGTCGGTCTACTCCGGGTGACCGTGAGTTTGACCACAAACGAAGGCTGTTACGTAATGAAATCGGGCAAAGCTTGCGTAAGGACCGGGAAGCCTGGTGGTCGGAGCGTGCTAATGAGATGGAAGCAGCAGCTGCATCTGGTAACTGCCGGAAGCTCTTCCAACTCATCCGAGCCACTGGCAGCAAGAAGTCTGGTGTGAGTGAAACAATCTACGAGGATGACGGGATGCCAATCACTAACATCTGTCGACGTCTTGGACGATGGGCGGAATTCTTCGAAGGGCAATTCAACTGGCCTGCTGCTCCGGCAACATCAACCAGCTTGTCCTGCTCCCCATGGCCGGTGACGACTGATCCACCAAACGAGGCGGAAGTCCGCAAGGAACTCCAACTCTTGAAACGTTATAAATCACCTGGCCCAGATGACTTACCTCCGGCTCTTTTTAAAGATGGTGGTGACTTTCTGACTAAGGAATTGACTGTGTTGTTTGCAAAGGTTTGGGAGCAATAAAGTGTTCCAACATCTTGGAATGAGTCAATAGTCGTCGCTATCCTTAAAAAGGGTTCATGTTGTTCCTGCAATAACTACCGGGGGATAAGTCTACTTTCGATCGCGTCCAAACTATTGGCTTCTATCATTCTTCGTAGGTTGTTTAAAACCCGAGAACGATTGACTCGCGAGGAGCAGGCTGGTTTTCGTTCTGGTCGAGGATGCATTGATCACATCTTCACCCTCCGCCAAATGTTAGAACACAGTCATACTTATCGCAGGCCAACAATCGTAGTGTTTCTTGATATCAGGGCGGCCTTCGATTCGTTGGACAGGATTGTTCTCTGGGATTGTCTATTGAAGAAGGGTGTGCCTGAGAAGTTCATTAACATCTTAAAGGCCCTGTATACGAACACCTCAGGCAGAGTGAAGGCATACAACCACCTTTCTCCCTTGTTCCATTCGAGCAGTGGGGTTAGACAGGGTTGCCCGATCTCACCATTCCTCTTCAACTTTGCCATCGACGACATCCTGGAAACAGCTCTGATGGATGTAAGTAATGGCGGTGTGGATATGTTGCCTGGAGAACGACTTCTCGACCTTGAGTATGCGGATGATATTGTCTTACTGTGCGATAATGCCCAAGGCATGCAATCAGCACTTAATCAGTTGGCAATCAGTGTCCGCAGGTACGGCATGTGCTTTGCACCCTCCAAGTGCAAAGTACTTCTACAAGACTGGCAGGATTCTCATCCTGTACTCACCCTGGATGGTGAGGAGATCGAAGTAGTTGAGAAGTTCGTGTATCTAGGTAGCTACATAAGTGCTGGTGGTGGCGTGAGTGATGAGATTGATGCACGTATAATGAAAGCCAGAGCGGCTTATGCCAATCTGGGCCATCTTTGGCGCCTTCGTGATGTTAGTCTGGCTGTAAAAGGTCGGATTTACAACGCGTCGGTGAGAGCAGTTTTGCTCTATGCTTGTGAAACCTGGCCTCTCCGAGTTGAGGATGTTAGACGTCTCTCTGTGTTCGATCATCGTTGTCTCCGAAGGATTGCTGACATCCAGTGGCAACACCATGTTAGTAATGCAGAGGTTCGGCATCGTGTGTTCGGGCGCAGAGACGATAATTCAATTGGTGTCACCATCTTGAAACACCGACTTCGGTGGCTTGGACATGTTTTACGAATGTCGTCCCAGAGACTTACACGTCGTGCATGATTTGCCGACCCTGGGACTGGTTGGAAAAAGCGGAGAGGAGGTCAGTGTATGACATGGTGTCGTGGCATGAAAAAGAGCTGCAAAGGGCTAGCTTCTGTTGGTCCTTCACGACTCCCTGGTTGGGGTCCGAGAGATAGTGCAACACAGTGGCTAGAGACGTTATCGGATATGGCTCAGAATAGAAGCCAGTGGCGATCCTGCTGCAACTTTCTTTTACTTTCTACATAAAGAATGGTTCTAACTTTCCTAACTGAAAGAATCTTCTGGTTGTACATTTCAGCCCGCCTTATCTTTTCATCCTTTATCTACCTACTTTCATTATTTTGTGTGGCGCATATGTACCTGGTGCCCTTTTGTACCAATATATATGTGTTTAAATAAAATAAAATAAAATAATATGCACAACATACTGGTTTATCAACAATAATATCACTCACCCATCATGATTGAATTAATTTTCCCCTTAATTTGAACTGTGCATTCATTACATTTATGAATGCAAACTGTTTGCTTTGTTTCAGTAGCAACAATTTGTAAATTACCGGCAGACTGGAAATTTTCCTAGAAAATAAAATGATAACCACAAAAAGCATAAAACCTATCAGTATCGCTTTCTAATAAAAAGTATTAAAAAATTCGTAGCTAAAAAGTGGGTTCAATGAACCAATTATTCTTAGACAGATAGAGAATTCATAAAGATTTCTCAGTTTGAAAGCTACCTTAGGTCATAGTTTAATATGAACTAGAGAGTCCCTCAAAATCATGAAGCTCCGAACGAATAATATATGGTTTGAGACGTATTACCAGTGACTCGAATGCAGTTTAACTACATAGATAGTGAAACAGATTCATCAATGGTATATATATATATATATATATATATTATGCACGATAAAACAATTTGGTTGTCTTGACCTTGATCTTATTTTGGGACTTCTGTGCACACTACTGATGATAAATCTCAATCTAGAATAGAACAGTTATTCAGATCTCCTTAATATCAATCCGTGATGTAAACTGACTTCAGTACTAAGTAATCAACATATAAGCTCACTCAAGTTACATATTTAAAACCATCCAACGTACTTTTATTTAAGGGTAGAATATTGTTATTTGTTATTAGTTTACAGTTTGTTACGTAATATTTAATTGATTACTGTTTCCACATGCTATCACTAAAATTATATTAAAGTATATATCAACATTTAAATATCTCGTCCACTGCAAGTTTACTTATACTTGTATAAAAACGTATTTGTGAGACCTAAAATTACTACTCAACTATTAACACCATAGTACATGGAAGTGTTCCAATATGCTATCTTGTGGTTAGAAGTAGGGTGTAAAGTGTATGAAACAGCAACCCCATACTTCTATAACAGGTTAAATACTAAGAAGGCTAATCGCTGTATGTTGATTCAATTGTGGTTACTGATACACAACTGAATGGTTCTAAATAAAGCCATATGATTGTATGAGTGAATTGTTGAGTTCTTAAGAAAAAACGGCCTAGTTATAGTCAAATGTTAATGACTATTCAAATAAGGATGAAGGTCACTTGCAAACGTTTGACCTATTAATTATAAGAGTACCATACTCAATAAGAAAAGAATTTAGATAACTCTATTTCTCGGCATGGGATATCAGATGGATCTTTGTGAAAACCTGTTACTTTAAGAAGTATATCCTTAAGAATGATCTATACAATTGCCAGTTATCTACCACATATTTTTTAAAATAATGAATCTAGAATACCTGTGAATCATCTTTAGTTACATACAAAGTTACTTTAGTTATTGTAACTTGAGGGGGATATTTCAAAACAGAAGCTTAGATATATTCCTTGCTGTTCCCTATCAATCAGTCATAGGCAACGTAGAACCTGACAGAAATGTGGATTAGCCTAAGTCCCAACAACACGTCAGAACAGCGGGATTATATTATCACTAATTTTATAGTTTAAATCATGAGTCAATTGAAGCTAAACGACCATGCAAAACCTGGAAGCACTGGACGGTCGTTTCATCCCATTGTGGGACTCCTCATCAGTGCACATCCACGATCCCACCTCGCGAGATTCGAGCCCAGGACCTTTAAGAAACCTTTAAGAAATACAAACCTACAAAATCGGAAAAATGTCAAATACTGAAGAGAAATTTGGATGGCTATATTTATGAATTATTTTCATCTATCGTATACACTATTTAACGAGTACAAACAGTGAATTGGAAAACAAATTCGAATCGAACTACATGAAATTATATCAGCAGGCTAAAGATGATCACAAACAATAATCATTAGTGTGAATGTTGTAAATACTGATGATTTCTTATATTCCAACAGAAAATAATAATACTGTCAGAAAATAACCAAAAGTAGATAGACAACTATTTCTAAAAGGTTGGACAGTGAATAAAAGATGCGAAGTGATTTTATTCATGCAATTACATACATTAAACGTGCACATGCATATATAAATACACAAACAGTAATTCACTTTCGAAGTGGCACACGTGAAAAATTCGATTTTGAAGAAATCAATAATTAAAATCAATCAAGGGGTAATCTTTCAACAGTTCAATGTACACTTATAATTAGTGAAAATTAGTTTGTAGTGTATGAAATAACATTAACCAAGTCACGTTTCAAAACAAATTACCAGTAGATAGGTTAAGGTATTCAGATTAACAATGAAATTGTCTTTTTGAAAGTGAAATTTTATTTACGAAGTACTATTCGTCGGAGAGCCATTCAGAATCACGAAGCACTGGACAGCTAGCCTTAGTTTAGGAATCCTTAACAGTAAGTATCTAGGGGTAAAAATGGGATAGAATCCATGAAGTTTAAGTCCTGTGGTGAACACGATGTTCATTGTTTTTGGTTGGTAACCCCCTCACACCCGACTAAGCTGAACTCCATTAGTCACGGAAGATTATCACTCAATATTGTGAATTGATTGAAGCTAGACATTAGCCCCATTGGATGTTGACTCAGTGATCTAGAGGTTAAGCGTTCGCGAGCGAGACCGAGGGTGCTGGGTTCGGTTCCCGCATGCGAGGTCGTGAATGTGAACTGCTGAGGAGTCCCACGATACGACGAAACGACCGTTCAATACTTTCAAGTTTTTAATGGTGGTGTAACACCGATCACCTCATGATTTCGGTGAAACCCAACAATCTCCACAACCTTATACAGATGAATATTTATTATGTGAGAACTATTATAATTACACTAAATGTTAATAAATGGAGTGACATTTAAATTAGTGTCCTATTAACTTTTAGTTAACGAATCAGAATTCAAAAGAAAACATCTATGTTTGATCGGATCTTCTGTAATAACGACATAAGTGTTCATATCTTTTCATTTTTCCTATGAAAAATGACCGTTTCCTGAATACAAAATACCGATAAGTGTACCATATACGTCTCTACTTGTTTTTTTTTTACAAATAGACAATTTAAGTATCGATTTCTTTAGAACATTTATATCTTGAAAATGAGGACAACAATACAAGTATGGATGGAATAATTTAGATTATTATTATCATTATTATTAAAATCTTTCATCAACTCTAATCATATTATTAATATCAGACACGAAAGGCTATTTGTGCTACATCCAAATATGTAAATAAATGACTGACTACTCATGATAAATGTCTAATTTTCACAAATGTAAACCTCGTTTACGTACTAAGATGAATATTTTGACTCTAGTTGGAGTGAGTTTTTCTAGCTCTTACTAATGAAAGTTAGTATGTTATTCCATATAATGAGGTTTCAATCGTTGGAGTATTTTACAACACCTCACTTTTATAATGGGATTAATCATATTGAAAAGGATTTAAGTGCATGACATCGAAAAGATAACATAAATTTTTTAACAAATAAAACGTACTACAATCCATCTGTTACCCCTTAGTTCCAAGCATCCAGCCCCCGACGACCCTTTCTCAGACGGTGGTCGGACAGTTGGATTACTCGATGGTGAGTTCTTTTGATCTCGTGTTGTGTGCATAATAGGTCCTTCACGAAGTTTGGGGTTTTTATGCGTTTTCATATCGTCAGTTACTTTGCGCAGATTAGATATCACTGCTGTTCCACGATTCAAATCAGCGAATAAAGCAGACTGTGGTGAATTATCGTCCGCTTGCTAATTAATAATTAAATAGAGAAATATTAATGATAACCAATCCCGAGTTATAAATTTATGAGTATGAAAAAGCTTATCAATTAACGATACAATGCATATCAATAATGACCGAATCCAACAATCGTCTTAGTACACGAAATAAACTAAGTTTTAGATAATTTATCGTAAGACTACTTGAGTTGTGCATAAACATAAACATATATAGTCTAGTCTATAAGCATGAAGTCAACTACATATTTGAATAAAAAATAAACACACAATTAAACTGAGTTTTGAACCAATGATTGTAGAAGAAACAACGACCCACTGAATACTAACGTGTTTCTAGACCTGACAAACTGTATGATCTGGAAGGCAGATTTAATTGTATTTAGAAGCTTTGTTTAACACTAAGTGATCAATATATTTTAGAACATAACCAATGTCGTTCATTATTTTGACAAATCAGCGTTAATTATAAAAGAAGTAATCAAAAGTATGCATTCGATGTTATGTGGTCCTACAGGGTCTCATATATATCTAAACCGTTTATGAGTTACTAACAGGATGTGAGATATTTGATACTGAAACCCAGGCTTCAGATACACGAGCTAAACGAGCGAGAAAACTTTTATTCGCTAGATAAATTGGCATACACGTACACTGATATATATAAGGCTTTCTTCTCACTCGTTTAGCTCGTGCATCTGGAACCGGGATATCAGTAGCGAACATCGTATATCTTATAATTCCTGAGAAATGAAAGCCGTTTTTCGGACAATCAATCATATGCACTTATCATTTGGCCAGTTAACTATAAGTAATTTTATTTCACTACCTACATTAAATACAGCCCCCGAATGCCCTGGTACGTCAGAGAGTAGAGAGAGTCCGCTCTCCCTCTCGAAATGCTCTCACATGGCCACGCATATATAGCCTCTGCCAGAGAAGTTCTACTCATTGCCTTCTTGTGGCGGGGTGTTGTTTACGAAAGTGAGAGGACGAAAAGCGAATGTCCGGAGCTTTAACCGGGTTGGTGGACACAGAAAGTCCACCTAGGGGAGTTGGAAAACCTTGATTCCAAACCAATGGTGCACATGGACTCCGGTATCCTGAGGGAACAAATTGCGTGTGAATCAATCATTGGTCACTGGCTACTATGGGACTGCATCTCCTCACGATGCTCCACTGCCTTGTGGATCAGATCTTTAAGTCAAAGGCTCGGGGTGTGACCCCCTAAGAAAACCACCTGCTTCGGTTTGGGCAGCCGGGCAGTACCACAGCCCTCACACAAATCAAATGAGATTTGTGTGGCGCATATATATCTGGTGCTTCCTTGTACCAATATTTATGTGTTTAAATAAATGAATAACATTAAATACACTTAGGATAATATATGAAACACAGTAGTGCGACAATTAAGATGTTAAGACTATTTCAAAATATGTTAACCAGTTCACTTCAGTTAATGAGTAAAGGGTTTAGACTTACTTCGTGTGCCACTTTTATTCTTAGCAGTTACATTTTATAAAAACCAAGTACTTGGCAAATGTTGAGAAAATTATAAAGCTTCATCCTCTAAAATGTTGTCTGTAACAAGATATGTAACCCAATTTGACTGAACCCATACTAAACAAGTAACATTCCCACTAGGCTTATATTAATGTATGTAGGTGACAATGATGATAATATTAACTTCATAAATCTCTGGTGTTAGAATAGGAACTACACCAATCAAAATATAATTGAATCTTCCAAGTCAGAATGACTTGCGGGAAGTATTTGATAGGTACGTCCTTTCAAGTAAGATAATTTCAAAATGAAATGAATGCAACATTTTATGAATCGATAACTGATACATATACATACGCAACACTTCGATCCGATATGCGATTACACAAGTTAGTGACAAAATAAATGGATAGTTACAATTGTCCTGTATAGACTGACAACTATATTAGCACATCATAAGAGAAACAGCATGAGTAATGTGACCAAAGTCTAGTGGTTTAAATGAATGGACAACCGGATTATCGATGCGAATCATAAATGCTAACAATCCAAAGATGCTAAAAACTACCGAACAAAATATGTATCAAATTGATTTTTAATGGGCACATTTCTATCAAACAAAAAGATCATATTCTTACACACCAATGACATTGCAGCTAAATGAGCAGTTGTAAGTACAGGGGGTGGTGGTGCAGAACAATTGGAATTGACTTCACGAGTAGGTGAAGACTTAGACAGCTTTGATGCTACAGCTGGTTTACCACGAGCATTCCAAACCAAACCAGTGGTATGATGTTTGTTAACATAAACTTGTAGTGCAGTCCAAACTGACATTAAAGATTTTTTCCAAGCACGATGAACTGTGTCGCTATAATAAATAACACAGAAAATATTTATGGTCATATCTCATGAACAAATGAGGGAGATGAACAAATTAAATAAGAAATTTTCAAAATCAATATCTTTAAAAAAACAAACCATATAACCATGAATTGTCTCAAATAAATTCTAAAACCCGTTGGATTTATTCGACAATACATTTGATTTTCAGCCAGATTAGTATGAGCTCCTATAGACACCTGGTTCCCAATAATACGTGATTATCGTACTTTGATCTTATCGTAAAAGGTCTTTTAATGGATTTTTCACGGATTTGAACAGTTGTATAACGTAGTAATAACTGTGTAAATTGGTTCACACAAATGTTGAAAAAAAGAGATAAAACTTCAGGTTTTAAAGTTCTCTTCGCAGAGGAAATTATAACCCAAAGATAATAAGAGGAATCCGTCACAGCTTTGGGCTCTATGTAAAAACAATCTGACACAACCATATCCCGAAGAGAATTGTGAATGGTAACTTTTGAAGACTATTTGTGGACCGATGTAATATGTATATTTCCTATCGTATAATTGTTAAGTAACTAACCTAATCATATTCGTATCCCCCTTATCATTAGCTTTATTTTGATTTTTGAACTATAATTATACGATTCTTGAGTTATCATCAGTTTATTGATTACTTTCTCCCTATTCACAGTCACATTTGGCTAAATATTGTACAAATGTTATTTTCTTTAATATGGTACGATGTGGTCTGTTTCATTGGTATATAAACCCAGTATGTTTGTGAATAATGATTCATACCACAGAGGCCGTTATTGGTGTTTTGAACTTAACTGGCTGGGCTAGGCAGAAGCAGGACCGGTTAGCGCTCTAGACTGCTCGTACGGTTTCGTGTGTCACTGTTCCAATCGATAATTCGCTGCTCCCTGATTGGCGGTCTCATCAAGTCACACATTAACTAGGCATCCACTCGGCCACAAGATATAACAATATATTATCAAAATATTTGATCGCTTTTACTCTTAAAATCTTGAATTTCGCCAACAGACTGACTATAGTTCCACTGGTCTAAGCCAGCGTTTTTATCAACAACTATGCTAAATATGCAAGACACCTTGGATGGCGTACATAAAATAAATCCAACATATTGAAACCAGTATTGACATACGCAAAAGCTGATTGAGTCACTTGATTTTTATTAGCTATAAGTTAAAAAGAATTTGAGCTTTGTGTAAATACTACAAGGATAAATAAACTCACTGACATTTAGACGTAAATAATAACAAAAATTCAACAACCCATCTTATCAGTTTTGTAAAAAAAAATCAGATATGATTTAACGAACTAGATTCATCTAAATGTGACTATTTTTCAAGAGAAACGACAACGTATGCCAGCATAAATACCACACATGTTCATTAAATCTGATCAACGTGCTAATTATGGCATTGTACAAGGAACAGATTAATGTTATTATAAATTGGTTACACAGTGCAATTTAATTGCTGTAGCCAGAACTTTCTCCAATAGGCTTCAAAAATAACTGCGATATTTTGTGGTGAATTTAGTGGGAAGATTACATGAAAAAACGTTCGTGGTAAAATATATGTGACATTCGGAATCTTTAAACTGACTAGTGTGTGTTCTATGATTTAAAACCACACTTCAAAAGTCACCGGATAATATTCATGAAATAGAATGAAAGGAATACCAGTTATTAGTAACGCTAGGTCTGAGTAACATGCTGCTTTTCAGAAAATATTATACATTTGACGGTGTTAAAATAGGAAGTTAATTTTGTCACAAAATTTAGTTTTGACTCCGTCAAACAAAGCCTTTTCAATTAAGTAACAGCGTCTTTTGCTATAAATTATGGTTGTTCATACAGAACTATTAGAATAACACATCATTGGCTGCCATTGGTTTGATCGGCAACCAGCCCCTTCCTTATCTGTTGGTGTTATACATTTTATCAAGGATATAGTCTATCGAGACCATCAGAACGCCAATTACTTAGGTACATATACATTTATAAACATACATAGCAGCAAACTCTAAATACAAACCTCTTTGAAATATAGAAAATAGTGAGTTTATTGATAAAGTGAATAATAAATAACTAACTTGTCTTTGTATTCCATAAGAATACGATTCATAAAGAATTCACCTGCTTCTTGCATGGTTTTAACGTATGTCGATGGTGCAGGAGTCTGAGTAGTCTAAACGCTTAAAAACAAAACTTACATCACTTAACCAGCCTAGAGCTGTCACAGACTCGGCCACAGCTGAAAGATGGTTAAAAAATTTACTGCTTCGATTATTATCCTTAAATTTCTATAAAGGAAAACAATTTAACGACGTACTAGCAAATTACGATAACTTCTTCTATTAGATTTCCCAATGGTGTTATAATAAGCTTTAGGTCCGAGTCAGAAGGTTTTGAGCATTCAGCTGCCAATTTGATTATCTCTTCTTGCATCAAAAAGCATTTTTTAACCATGGAGGCCTGATTGAAAATAATCCCGTGGAAGTGATTAAACACAGAATAAAACCTACGTGATTTCCAACAATATCTCCAATTTCAAAACTATTAAGTAGGTATTCCGATAAAGGGCCAGTGACTATTTCATGAAATTCCTTGACTGATGAAGGATTTCCACTTTCTTGATACAGGAATAATTATGAAAACCTCATTTACCCGAAGATATTTTAATTGGCGATGTACGATACATATTGTTAACGGCGGCTGCTTCAAGAAGAATAGTTACTTTTTCTAATCGACAGAGTAGAGAATCAAGTCTTTCCATGCCTATAAGTAAATCAAAGAAAGTGAAAGAAGGATGTAAAACGGTTATCTCGAATCTAAGAATAAAAACGACAAAATTACCTGCATCCCAGAGTTGATGCTCACCCCGTGACTCGGACCCAGCACCGTCGGCTTTAAACTACAACGCGTTATCCACTTAGCTACTTAGTCCTAATAATCACCAGGTACATCCAACTGACGGGTCCCAAACAAGACGAAACGCATGACCTAAATTCCACTACTAGCCACTATCTACCTTCGTTTATAGTGCTTGTGACTTAATGCAATGTCGAGGCAATCCGCGCAGGGTGCACATATGCCAATAAGAGACTAACCTATTATAGTCTTAAACATCAATGTGAAGATTTAAACAAACAATACAAGCATGTCAAATAGGCTGTTCGATCACTATTTTTCCCTCACAATAGGACCTAACTTAAAGCCTTCACCTACTTATACGACTCGGGCCAGAGGGTAGTGATTTCATCGGTCACGGTTAGCTTCCACTAAACTGATGTTATTTTATAACTCATCACATATTGAATTGAAAAATAAACCACATGACTAAACTGATAACGTGAACTTTCAAAATATGGATTGGTAGAAATATAATCTGAGTTGTTGGTTTAAGTATTAATTAGAAAAAAGTTAAAAGTGCTTAGAGCAAGACATGAATCTAATTAATTAAGTCACTGACTGTACGTCTAAGAAATGTATAGAGATTCAGGTTTCCGGGTCGAAATCTATGAAACAAGAGCTGCTTTACCGCTCCCGATGATGTATAATTACAGACATGATTGTACTCAAGGCAGTGAGAAGTTAGGTTAAACACGTCCAGAAAAGAACCGATGCTGCCTAAGTGTTCACTTTTTCATAAAATACAGCGAAACAACCAACTCAGAATGATACTTATCACTACGACTTTAGTTATATGAGAACTAATTACGTTAACCACACCCAAAAAATACTCGTTTCACTACCTCAAATGCACAAATTCGATCACTCACTAGTTCAATAAGAAGATTGAGTTAACCCAGGACCCTAGCAACCTAGTAAAAGATAGTTAACGCTTAATTAGCTCAAAATATGGACTTTGCACAACAAAGCTTATCACCCTTTGATCACCTGCAATTTATGCTGTCAGCTTGTTACAGCCCCCGAATGCCCTGGTACGTCAGAGAGTAGAGAGTCCGCTCTCCCTCTCGAAATGCTCTCACATGGCCACGCATATATAGCCTCTGCCAGAGAAGTTCTACTCATTGCCTTCTTGTGGCGGGGTGTTGTTTACGAAAGTGAGAGGACGAAAAGCGAATGTCCGGAGCTTTAACCGGGTTGGTGGACACAGAAAGTCCACCTAGGGGAGTTGGAAAACCTTGATTCCAAACCAATGGTGCACATGGACTCCGGTATCCTGAGGGAACAAATTGCGTGTGAATCAATCATTGGTCACTGGCTACTATGGGACTGCATCTCCTCACGATGCTCCACTGCCTTGTGGATCAGATCTTTAAGTCAAAGGCTCGGGGTGTGACCCCCTAAGAAAACCACCTGCTTCGGTTTGGGCAGCCGGGCAGTACCACAGCCCTCACACAAATCAAATGAGATTTGTGTGGCGCATATATATCTGGTGCTTCCTTGTACCAATATTTATGCGTTCAAATAAGTAAATAAATGTCGTCCGTAAAAACAGAACTGACAACTTTCTTGCAATTATGGATATTTATTGCTACACACTTGTTACAATATTGGACCGATGCATATGTGTGCCCGGTTTCACGTTGTAGCTGACTAACTGACTGACGTTTTGTACGAGTATTTACGGTGGTATCCATGGTAAATCTGAGGGTGAATAATACAACACTTCGTTTATAACCGTGGGAACAAGTATATGAACACCTATATTTATCCACACCTATAAAACTGTGAACGAAGAACATTATCTCAAGGTAAAAATTCGTAGTGTGAACGTGATTTTGATTAATCTAACCGAAAATCGATGGTTAAAGCAATTGACAGAATGTTGATTGACTGTAAATCTGAAATGACGCGATCTTACGGAGTGATTACTCACAAGACTAAATTTAGCAAAGTCATGTTGACTGGCAGTCTAGACAACAACCCATGTAGTTAGCTCGTGTCACAAAATACACATTTATGTTGACTAAGATACCGTCCCTGTTGGTTTAGCAAAGAACTACTTTGCAAATATTGATGAAATCCTGTTTTGAGACCTGATGATTGATGTCTTGATTGTACTTTGATAGCCCCGGGAGCTATTTCCAGCACAAAATTCTAGAGATTATTTAATACGAAATTATTCAGCGGGCCAGAGCATAAGACATTTTTTAACACTAAACATTTGTTTTTGAAAACTTGAAATCGGCTAGACTGGTGTACCGAGAGATGTAGGGAGATTAAGGAAAACTTAATACTTATGAAGGAACCTCTGTCTTCTAAGAATTCAATGTTAGGGGCTAGTTTGTGAATAGTATAAATCCAAAGTTGGTTGTGCTATGTTGTAATAGTAGTAGTAAGTTTACTCCACTTAACGAGATGGGGAATGTTTGATTCAAACACGTTAGTCGGCGAACTCACACTATAGAGAGCACCATATATGTAATTCTGGGCGGAGGATTTTGTTTGTTCGTGATTCGAAACGAAACTCCAGAAATGTACTATACGATATCGGTTTTGACCTTATGGGAATGTCCTACCAAATGATAAGTCCTAAGTAAAAGTAGTAACGGATTACTTCCAATTTTTGAAATACTGAGTAAAATGCCTTAAAAAATATTTGTGACGGAAAGACACGTTGTTACACTGTCGAAATAATTATTTACACTAAGCAAAGTACCACCATTAATGACGTAATAAATTAAATGGCAGAAAAACATCAGAAAATGAATTTTTATACCAAAAAATATCGAACACACACTTTACCATTCTTAAAACGCTCATTGACACTCTTCATGCAATTTTCACAGCAAAAATACATCACTTACACCAAAGGCTTTAGGCCTTAGTAACGCAATTATCGCACACCGCGGGCCAGAGTGTGAAATGGGTCAAATGGGTCAAATGATTGTGGACAGAATAGAAAAAGCTTTCGCTTGACGGGCTTCCGTGTCTAGTAACAGAGGATCACCGATTCTTCCAGGTAGGGACACTGGTATATTAACGATGATAGAGGGAAAAAAGAAATTGGCAAATCATAACAAGATGTTATCCTTAATCCTTAAGAAATACTATGTTTCCGTACTCTAAATAGGGGCAAATAAAACCGTTGGAGATTGTGTGGAAAGTTCTTTTGTCAAAATGGCCGAAAATTTGCTTCAATATTACCAGTGCACGGTTTGCTTGAACGGCGTTTTTGTCACAGTCAGCACACGACTTCAAGTCGTAGGGTGTAACAGCTCAGGTTGGTTGGTTGGTTAAGAGTTGACCCCAAACAACCAAGCATATGCTAAAACAGTATTGTTCAAGTGTTCATTCACTTCCTTACTTTTTGTAAGCGTTATATTCCCCATTATCTTATATACAATGTTGAGAGCCTTTGTTTGTCTGAACAGATAAACCCACGCTCCACTGTGACTGCGAGAAGATCGAAATAAAGACCTATTCACTACTTCTCTGGTTTCTTCTATCAATAGCACGAGGGTTACCTATAGGCACGAAAGTGGTGAGCCCTTTTTGAACACAAATTTAACCTCATTTCTGTTATTAATCTTTTTTTTACTTAATCGTAAAAGTAGACTGGATTATCCGTAAACTAAGTTGAGTATATAACTAGTTTATTCTGTATTATCTTAAGTTATTCGTGTTATAGTAACCATTTTTCGTACTAACTTTATTGCTATATTTGTCACATACCTCATGTCAGACTCAATAGAAACCCATAATATGGAGGATTGTCACCAGTGGAGATAGACACTGTTATGACTACGAAATCCCGACTTCCAGAATTTGATCGTAGTGATCCTGAGTTGTGATTTGCTCAACTAGAGCATTATTTCACGAGACACAATATCAAATCTGAAGGGATTAGCTATAGAGACTTGTGTTCTATCCTTCCTCCTTCAGTCGCCAAAGAAGTCCGTGACTTGATTTTAGATCCATCATCACCACAACCATACACCATCTTAAGACGAGAGATAATGAACCGTTTATCATTATCAGATAGTCAAATAATCCAAAGACTTTTTCAAGGGGAAACACTAGGTGATCGGTCGCCGTCACAGTTTTTGCGTCACCTCCAAGTGTTAATAGGTGATAACACAGTGAGTGAAGCAGTCCTAAAACAAGGATGGACACAAGCTCTCCCATGCTACGTCCAACACTGTTTGGATGCACAAGATCCTGAAACCTCATTATTTCATTTAGCGCGTATAGCCGATAGAATAATGGAGAGAGGTCCTACAACTGGACCAGGCACAATCAATCACACACAAAAAGTAGAATCAGCAAAAGACCCGTCATAGAAAGGACTCATTGCGAGTGTTAAGAGTCTCACTGAGGCTGTCACCAGAATGCAAATGGGTCAGAGAAACAGAAGCAGGTCACCACAACGACCACGATCCAAGTCACAAAACAGGTCACAAATGTCCAGACAACCTGGGCAGTTTTGTTGGTACCACTGGAAGTTTGGTGTCAACTCAACCACGTGCATGCAACCATGCGCCTGGCCTAAGCATAATTCTAAGACAGCGGGAAACGAGTAACCGCTCCCCAGGTCGCGACGACTGAGGAGGGGCGCCTGAACAGTCGCTTGTTTTATGTTAGAGACAGAAACTCTGGCTTGAATTTTTTGGTGGATACTGGCGCTGCTCTTAGCATCATCCCTCAAAATAAAACTGAGATTAGTAGAGAAACATCATCAATTACACTTCAAGCTGCGAATAAAACTAAAATTGCGACATTTGGGCAGAAGAACTTGACCCTAGACTTGGGGTTCAGGAGGCAATTCCCTTGGGTTTTCACGGTAGCCGACTTAGATCTGGCAAGACTGGGGGTGGACTTTCTAGAGAGATACGAATTTCTAGTTGACACCAAGAAACGGCGATTAACACTAAAAGAAACTTCGTATTACACAAAAGGCAAAGAAAGTCACATCAGCTCTCTTAACTTGATTCAAACTCCTCCAGTAACAACAGCGAAATTCCAAGATATGCTCGCGGAATTTCCAAACTTAACTAAACCAAACCCACAGCCTTCTAAAGACAAACTAAAAGTAAGTCACACTATCAAAACCGAAGGTGCACCGGTTTTTGCAAAACCCAGGAGACTAGCACCAGATAAGCTCAAAATCGCTAGGGCCGAGTTTGATTATATGCTACAACTGGGTATTATCCGTCCCTCTGATAGTCAATGGGCATCCCCTTTGCATATGGTCCCAAAGAAAAATGAAGGTGACTGGCGACCGTGCGGGGATTACAGAGCCCTCAACCGTCAAACCGTACCAGTTAGGTACCCAATACCGCATATCCAAGATTTCACAAACGGTTTACAGGGTATGAACATATTCACTAAAATTGACTTAGTCAGGGCATAACACAATATCCCAGTGGCTGATGAAGATATCCCCAAGACAGCTATTACAACACCCTTTGGCTTATTCGAGTTTGCACGCATGCCATTCGGCCTGAGAAATGCGGCACAGACATTTCAAAGATTCATAGACAATCTTCTTCGAGATATGTCATTTGCGCAGGAGTATATAGACGACTTGTTAATTGCCAGCCCCGAATTGCAATCACACGAACAGCATGTAAAAACAGTGTTAAAAAGACTGGAAGAACATGGAATAAACATACGTCAAAGTAAGTGTGTTTTCGGTGTTTAAACTTTAGAATTTCTCGGTCACACAATAAGCCCAGAAGGGATTAAACCGATCAAAAAAGAAGTAGACACCATTAAACAATACCCCATACCTAGTTCTCTAACACAACTGAGAAGTTTTCTAGGTCTAATTAACTTTTATCGCAGATTCATACCAGGTTGTGCACAATTAACGCAACCTTTGACAGATTCATTAAAAGGAAAACCAAAAGAATTCAAACTGTCTTCTGACGCTGTCGAAGCTATTAAAGAGCTTAAAGATAAATTAGCTCAAGCAACTACGTTGATGTATCCGAATTCTCTTTCCCCACTTGCTTTGATGGTGGATGCTTCAGATAAAGCAGTAGGCGGTACCCTTAACCAACTGGTTAA